GTATACACAGACTTTGCTATGCTTCTCAGAGACAAAGTGGGCTACTGTCTGACATCGACATTGACCGGTTGCTTGGGAAAGGGGTGAATATCCTCTTATGGCAGAAACATCATCTTTTGAATTCGGTCAGGATTTCTGCCGCATTAAATTGCTGTATTGTCTGTGACTACACACTGAAACATTGGCTAGCCTGGTTTTGGTGGTCTGGTAATTTGAAACCCTCAAGTAGGGTTTGGTATTTTGTAATCGATAAGTGGATCTTCTCTGTTGCTTTTAACGATTTGCAACAAAGTTCGGCGACAATGATTTGTACATAAAACATTTGCAAAAATAACTAGCCATCCAAGAAATGAAGTAGATGTTGAAAGGGCTTATATTACCTCCTAGATACTAGAAACCTCGTGGAAGCAATTCAGATGTCCAGAGATTCAGTGTATGTATATGAACAAGGACAACATAGCTTCATACTAATGGGTACATCAATGCAGTAGAAAATTTTCACTAAAATTTTATACAAAGCACTGACTACTGATGTTTTGTACATAGGTAGAGACTCCTGGATACATAAAATAGGTACTGAATGAAAAATTGTTAGTAAGTTGAAAATATTAAACTTTCTGTCCACTTGCCTTTTTCCGTTTCATTAACAATAAACCATTAAATGTGTCTATGCTATTTTATCTAACTTTTGTAACTAAAGATACATTCCAGTGCAGGAAATGTCAGTAAATGTATTCACTCCACCAAGAGCTCTCTACCCTTGCATTATGCCAGTGGAGAAATTTCCTTCTGCTGTGCCTTTTTGAAATATGCTCTTGCAAGAAGTGAACAATCTAAAAGGGATGGCTCATGTGTCAACTTTTTTTTTTTTTTTTTTTTTTGCTGAGGAAGATTCGCCCTGAGCTAACATCCATGCCGATCTTCATCCATTTTTTTTGTATGTGGGACACCTCCACAGTGTGGCTGGTGAGTGGAGTAGGTCCACGCCCAGGATCTAAACCCGCAAACCCCAGCCACCAAAGCAGAGCGCATGGAGGTTTAACCACTTGGCCATGGGTCCGGGCCCACGCCAACTTTTTGTATCCTAAGCTCATTTCCTTTTTAAACTTTAAACCTATTCTTTATGTTATTTTTAACCAGATTCAAACTCGAAACATGTTGGGGGTAAGTAGTTTCTGATTGGGTTCCATCCCACAACACACATGTCCCTTCCCCTATGGGTTTGACATTGTAATGGTCATTGGATAGATTTCACCTGTCACTACCTCTTAAATAGAACTCATTTGTTCATAACTTTTCAAATCTCAAACCCAGAATGTTAGTGCTACAACAGCATATAAAGCTCATGCGATCTCTTTGCTTCAAAACAAAAGGGCTGAGGCCCTTGCAGGAGTGACAGCCTCTACCTAGTTAGGAAGTGTGGCTGTGATGTTAGTGCTTCTTGCACAACATCCTTCACACACTCCTTCCGGGCCACATGGAAGACTAGGATTACGAGGAAGGAGTGAGTAAGGAATATCTATATTTGCGGATGTTCTAGAACTGCACTGTGCAATGTGGTCGCCACTGGCCACCTGTGGTTATTTAAATTTCAATTAGTTAAAATGAAATCAAATGAAAAATTCAGTTTCTGACTGCAGTAGCAGTAATTTCGAGCACTCAATAGCCCGTGTGGCCGTGGCTGCTGTATCGGACAGTACAGAAATTATAGGACATTGCCACCATTGTCAAAAATTCTGTTGAACAGCCTGAGGTCCGAGATTGAGTGCTGTGACTAAGGAACACAGACGCTCGCGTGTTGAACACATTCCTAAACAGATAAAGAGGGGGTGCAGTGGGAGCTGCTCCACCAGGGGGTGCTCTGTAGGGTTCCGCATCCCCACGGCAGGATTACTATTGAACGCTTTGAGAACTCTCTGCTCATTTTAAGCGCAGGTTGGGTCTCCTCACTTTATCTGATACGTTTACTGAGCTGAGGCCTGAGGTTGTGCAAGAAGGGACATGCACCCATGGACCTGCTGAGCACAGGGGAATCCGAACGATGGCTTATCCTCGGTGGTCTGTTATTCCGTGTAGCTCTCCAAGATTGTTTAGTGTAATAATCAGAAAATGCCAGTGCCAAATCAATCGCATTCTGACTCGCTGCTTATTAACATTGGTTATACAATGTATACATAATAACAGTGGTTATCCTGGGAATGAATGCACTGGGGTGTGGGACAGTGGCGTATTTCTCCCTGTCCTCTCCAGCCCTGTTTACCATATAGACGTGTGTAAGACTGCTCTGGACTGCCCACTCTGGAGAAAAAAGGCTCTGGGAGGAAGTCTCTATCTCAGCGATCTTCTGTGTCTGATAATCAACTTGTCTGATGATAAAATTGCCTCATTACTGTCTTGTCTAACTTTTCTAGCCTTGACTGTAATATCAAGATCACTGTTTTTGATGGGGTGTTGAAACCCAGAATCTGAGGCTCATAGACAATCCAGAATTCATAGAGCACTGAAAAATTATTGAAAGAGCAAGATAATTCAGATTAATGGATTAAGTTAAAAAAAAAAAAAGCCACAGTACAGCTATCATTTACTGAGCTCTTCCCGTGGGTTAAAGGCTTTACGTGCGATTTCGTTCCATTTCCACGACTATCCAAAGCAGATGTTCTTATTCTCTCTTTTCAGGGCAAGAAACTGAGATTTAGAGAATTGATTTATTCGAGTTCATTCAACAGCTGAGCAATAGAGCCAGGATACAAATCTAGGTTCTGCCTTTAAAAAGCAAGTGTGCTGTTGGCCACTATCATGCTATCTAGATTCCTAAAAAGTCACTTAGAGATCTAAACGTGATTTGAAAGGAAGATACGTAAAGCAGAAAGTATCAATTTAATGCACGAAGCCCGTCAAAAACCCTGTGGGCACCTTAACGGGGAATAGGTCTGGCCAATTCAACTTAATTTCTAAAAATTGGTGGGAAAATGGTAAGCCAAAAATATTTCTCTGACTGTACTTCAAACACTAGTTGATTTGAAGCGAAGTTACTAGAAATGTGCTTGAAAGTAGAGGGGCAGTGTCCTCTGACTCAGGCTGGTCACCCGCCCAGATCACACTGAAGGTGGCATGCCCCACCTAAAGGTTTTCAAATTCAAATTTTGACAGCTCTGTGCTACGCTCTCCCCAAAACCAAAGAAACAAACCAACCTCACCCAAGGGCCTGTTTCCATCTGGGGCCTTCAGTGGAGAAATGACCTTGGAGAGGTCATCAACTGACCTTCTAGAAGTTTGCCCTCGGCAGCAGCCTCACTGGAAAGCTCTGGTAGAAGCCGCCCCACTAATCCTTCCAAGTTAAAAAATTGCTTCCTCTTGTCCTTTCTTTTTTTCTGAACTATACAAGTATTTATTAATGTCTTTCCCTCTTATCTTACTCCCTTGGTAAGAATTCACCTTACTGTTCCTCTAAGCGGACTCTCCTCCCACATTTAGCATGACGGGATTCACAAAAAACTTGATGTACATATATTGCATCAGGAATACATTTATCCCAGTCAATTGACTTTATCTCCTTAGAGAGGCCCGATCTTTTGCTTTTATTCAGTTTCAGAGCCAATAATTCTTCCTGGGAAGGTTATGATGTTGTCAACTTCCTTTTTTTTTTTCCAATTTTTTTTTTAATTGTAGAGGATAACAAACACAAACATAGCTACAACTTTATAGTTTTGACAAATAATTACACAGTGATGTTGTCTAGCCACCTCCCAGGGGGAGAGATAAGACATCACCTGTACCCTAGAAGTACCCGGGCTGGCTTATGCCCCCCAACCTAGACCCCACTGCCCCAGAGGAAGCCGCCACCCCTACTGTTACCAGGATCTCTCCTTGCTTGCTCCCCTTTGTCTGCATCCCTAGACGTGCAGTGTGCCTCTTTCCGGGCTTTATTTACAAGGACTCATACTATATATATTCTTATGTCTGTGTTGGCTTACATTTTGCGGTAACATGTCCCTTATTCTCATAGACCTAACACTGAAAACTGGTCAACTAGCAGTCAGAACTTCTGACTTGGATCCATTTTTGAGGTGGGCACCACGTTTCTCATGGAGTTACCTGTCGGAGCTCTCTACAACACTGGGGACCTGGCTCATTCCATCTTTGCATCCCCACCATGCGTGATGGGCGTCTCTTGCCTAGAGAGATGACTAATGACTTTTTTTGAGAAGGGTATGGATATAGCTAAGTGCCGGACATTCTGGGCCTGTTGTTTTTGTCAATGTTGTAAATAGCCACGTCAAAATTAACAGAACGAAGGAAAGATGAAGTTATTTAGAAATCCTCTTACAGTGAATTCCCTTTCTAGAAACTAGCGAAAAAGTCTTGATCAACAATCCAAACAGTATATAAGAAGTAATCAGACTATAACTGGGTAATATTTTTGGACGATTTGAACTACCTCTGGTAAGTACTTCTATAGGTCTAAACGAGTTAATTAGAAGCAGCACACACATTTTCTTCAAACCATTTAACTTGGCCGTAGTCAACTCCTCATGGACAGTAACACGGACATTCTTCAGGTTTGTGCTGTTTTGCTCAAGATAGTCTCATTCTATTAGTGGTTGTTTCACTATCCAAGAACAAGACCGAACCCAAAGAAACCCCCCAAAGCTTCAAAAAGTAAACAGAATATGGACTAGCTTGCAAGGATAAAGTAGGAAACTATTGCTTAGGGCAAAGCACTCAAAATACGCTTCTGTTCTAAAAGCCTAACACATTTAAGTCGTGTGATGTATATCCGTCTGCGGGTATATATACACACATTTCCTATCATGTCAACTCTGCTAGTTCCTAGGATAGGTAATGTAACCACTTGCTAAGCTTTTAAGTATTTTGTTGTAAATATAAACATTTCAGAGTGTACAGCTCCACCAACATGAAAAGCCACTTGCAGTCTAAGGTGGAGAGAAAGGTTATGGCTAAGGAAATGGGAAAAGAACAAGGACGGAAGATGCTTAGGATTCGATGAAATACATTTTAATACATACTATGTTGCGGAAACAGCTGCAAAACCAGGGAGCACCCCGGAAGTGGCTCCTGGGAGAACTGAACTTGGGTCTGATACATTTGTGCCATTTCCATGAAGTGTGCCCAGCAAATGTTGAATGAACGAATGAAAGTGTTTAAAACTGTTCTTTTACTAAGTAAATTAAAAACCGAGTTATCCAGGATGAAAAAGGCAATCAGCAGTTGTTTTAATAGCTCACGTAAACCCAAAGTGATGTTTCAACGATATTAAGAATAAACTGTTGAGCTGTCCGTCCAAATATCTAATTTCCAGGGTCATCTACTGGCCTGCACGCATGGATTAAGAGTTACTTTATAGGCTATAACTAATGCAAGATTCCTAAAGAATTGCTTCCTAGTGGAACGACTGAACCTATTGTGGAAAGATGTTATTCACAACATTATCTATTTCATTCTTTAGCCAGGGTCATTCATTTGCTTTTAGACTTAAACGTCTATAGAAAACTGCTATGATCTGAAGAGACTGGCCATCAGACTGTTCGGAAGCTTAGCCAGCATGGCTTCAGGGAACTCCATTCACCAGCATTCTTCCTGGCAAGGTTTCCCTATCTCAGTGCTCACTCTCTACTTCGGTTAGTAGGTCTTTGTCTAATCGTCCTATTGAGAGGAGAATACAGGCGTTTAGCTGATACAGGACAGTAATGCACTGCATTTTATCCTGGAGAAAAGCCCGGCAGAGCCAGCAGGCTGATACCCTCTCATTTTCTTCAGGACGTTTGGAACCACAAATCAGCTGGAAGATAAAGATGCTCGCTGTACTTAACTGCAGACACCTGCGGAAGAGAAACAGCGTGTCGGTCCTAGAAAGCACACTTTGCCAGCTACGCAGGGGTCGGAAGGCAGACTATCTCAGCAGAAGAGTTTCCTGGTTTCCTGGGAGTGAGGAGGGTGTCTATTTCTTAAATATCTTCTCCTCCAATGAAATCCTAGCCAGGACCATTTTTTCCTGACTGCTTCTTTTTATAAAGTATCGATGCTACCGTCAGATGAAAACAGTCCCTGAGTTGACTGACAACTGGAAGACTTCTAATGCTCCAAAGGGAAATACTTCCCATTCCTTTCCATCGAGTTTTCTCAGCCACAGTAGTTCCTCAAATTCCTGCCGCTCTGATTTCCTTCTCCCTCCAGTCTAAACCCATTTTCTTCTTCTCGCTCGGGTCCGCTAACCTTCTCCTCCTGATGAAATCATCCTTCCCAGTGTAGCCCTCCCCGCTCTCGTCTTTTCCTGTCTTGTTCGACTTTGTTAATGAAAGTGAGTTAATCTCCATCCTCTTCGTAAGCTCTGTGGCATTGATAAGCTACTCTCTTTTCCTTCAGGATTCTTTCATGGAGGATGACTCTGCCCAACTTTCTAACACAGGTCTTTCATTTTTGAGTCCACATTTCCTTTTTCAGTTTCTTGGACTTCCTTTGGTTGGCGTACGGACAGCCATCCAGTGGAGACGGGGACCACCAGTCCATTCCACACGGGCCACTGAACAGTCAGAAGATGGGAGCAACTTTGGTCTCCAGTGACCTGGACTGGATTCAACTCACTGACCTAGAGGGAAAGGCTCTGTATCCATTACTAATCCCGTGAGCTCTCCAGCCCCCTGAAAATGATTCTTTGGTTTTATTATTGCAAAGGCCATTTATAAAATCATGAACTGGATTTAGGAAAGCAACCATGAAATAGCGAGGGACAACAAACTGATTGAAATTCCTTCAAGGTCATGTGGGCTGAAGCCTCGCAGCCAGCAGGACGGGGGTGAAGTTATATATAGGCACCTTCATTCTTATTTCATAGCATGACCGGCTCACTTAAACGTGGCAACTTTAGATCCACTGACCGTGCCTCAAGTAACTAAATCCTAAATAAAGAAAATGGAAAAGCAAACTATGAAATAGCCAATAATCTTTATTTTGCACTTCCCCACCCCCCCATCCCTCTCCAAAAAGCACTAATGGGTATATTTGTGCATGTGAAAATATTGTATAAAGTATTTAGGATGATGTCAAATTAATAAAACAAAAAACACGTATCTCAACATAGATGCTTTGTTTCTTTGTAGGGATAGAAAAATTTTGGCTTCTAGAACAAGGAGGGCGATGAAATACTGCACTCTTAAAAGGTCGACTCCATTTCCACTGATTTGCAATTTAACATTCATGGCAGAAAACCTCATTTCTCTAACCACATAATATGTTTTAAAATATGACTAATTCATACACTAATATCAACTTACTTGGCATTAAAAAAATCACAATTTCTATTAATATATTTGTATTAGGTTCAAAGCCCATATTCTAGCATTCAAGATATCCATTACACTGGTCCAAATTGGGATTATTTCAGAATCAAGTAAAAGTCCATATTTATTCCAAAGTTGCTAAAATATGCTAATAAAATTAAATTTGATGTTTTACATTAAAAATAAAATATTTGGTTTATCTCTCAGACATCTATAACATACAATAAATAGTGGGCAGTATAGTAATATAATAAAGTTTTGTGGTACCCTGAAATTTGATGAGTTTTCTTAAAAAAAATTCATAATATACTTCATTTCAGCCTTAAACCACAATATCAATGAACAGATTTGCAGAAATAAAACCATATAAACACAAAATGCTACAGTATACTTTTTTTTTTTTTTACTTTCGGGGAATCTACACGTCCTTTTAATAAAAGTTAAGTCAAAGAAATTTACAGAAACAAAATAGATGACAGAATGATTTCAAATCATCCACTATCAAACGCCTTGTTCTCCTTGCACCTGCCAGGCCCCTTGCCCACAGGCTCCGGGCTGCGCCGGGCAGTTCAACGGAGGTGGCTTTGAACTGTGGCTCTTTTTTCCAGCCTTCTCGGCTTACGTGAAGCGGTAATTACAGACATGGCTGAAATCACAGTGGATTCCAGAGAAAGCCAGAATGAAACACGATAAAAATTTAAAAAATAACTACTTCATAAATATTTATTATTTACATGAGGGGAGATCTTCTGGTCTGAAGAGTTTTCATACAAGTTGATGAAATGTATACGCGGTGAGAAGAGCGCCAGCGGTTTAAAGGAGGACAGAGTTAGAATGCAACAAAGATAGAAAATACGGGAGAGTCAACAAAAATAATTTGCACAAAAGCAAACAGGACATGATAGAAACCTTTTTCTTAAAAAATATAAGGTATTTCACAAAAGCCTGAACATTTTACATGTTAGTACTAAAAATGGGGGGGGGGGGAGGGGGAGCTTCATATATTTTCATCACAAAAATATTTACCAGTACTCCACCTGGAGCTGTCTCTCATGTTCTTATGATTATCTTACTGTGGAGGGCGGAGGCGGAAACTGTACACGGACTAGTCATATCATCCTTAGACACAGTCAAGGCATTACACGTCATCTTCTCGTCTAACACCTTCATGAAAAGGCCCTGGAGAGGACAAAGGGATCAAAGGGGAAGATTACGGTCTTTTTATTAATAATACTTGTCACTGGTAATAGAAAAACGGAGGCGCGGCGGTCCTCGCGCGGCCCCGGCTTGCGTTCCGCATCCACTGCCCGGCCGCGGGCGCTCGGCGTCGGAAGGAGGCTCCGGGGGCGCACGCGCGTCCGCAGTCTGGCGGGTCCCTCTGCACAGGACCCTGGTGCGGGCGGGATGGCGGCGCGGCCCCAGCGCCCTCCGCGTGGCCGCCGCGCTGTCCCGGCGCGGAGACGTCAGTGTGCCCGGTGCTTCCGCTTCTTGTGCTTCTTATCCTTCTTCTTGTTGGCACACTTGGGACAGAACCACTGCATCTCCTCCGGCGGGGCGGCCATTATTCCAACACAGGGCCTACACAGCAAAAAAGCCCCACAAAAGTTTCAGATAAACAAGCTTTACTTATATACATATTCTTTTTCTATGTTTTAACATAATTTTAAATAATTAAGTAATTTTTCAGTCTATTGTATACCGACTAGAAATCCGAGTCAAACAGCTGTAATTTATGGAGCAGGCTGTCGGGCGGTGGGTCATTCTATTACATAATGCCCCTTTTACAGGCCCTACTGGAGAAATTAATTAGCTCATTCATCCTTTCAGCCAGAAATGGTATGATTCTTCTGAGCAACGGCTTTGTTTTTATCTTATAGCTATCATGTATCATGTGACTGAATGGATTTCTATCTTTTTATTTCAGGTATTTTAAAGATAAAATGAGAAGATGATTGGCATAAATTTTGGTAGAGTTTCTTCAGTTCTGGAGAGCTGCCGAAGAGGTGTAAAAACAGACAAGCGGTCGCTTTATCTGCAGTTTGGGACCTGTGTTCAGAGGGGTTAGCTCAGCCCCACTGTCAAGCACTGTCGCTTTTACAGAGCCTCACTGGAAAGAAGGGGAAAGCCTTCTATTTCCTTTTTTTTCAATAAGGAGGATGTGTAAGCTAAGCAGAATATTGGGAATTTAGGCTGAATCTCAAGAGTCCAAACACTCGTGCTTTCTAATCACATTTTACTGGCTCGGTGATCCTGCTCGTCTGCTGTTCTCAGGACAGCAGCGGAATGGGCGCAAACCCGAGGCGCGGTCACTCATCACCGGGGGTGGGGAGCCCCGCGGGGCAGGCCGGGCTGGGGCGCTCACCAGTGGTACCAGTCGTCGCAGTCGTCACAGCCGATCATGGGGCTCCCGTCGTCCGGCTTATTGCAGCCGGGGCAGATCCAGATCTGATTGCCCCATTCGTCTCGGATCTGAGGGTTTAAACAGGGAGGGAGCGAACAGAGAGGGAAAGGGCAAAAAGAACCAAAAAGGGAGTAGAATAAGAACGGTTACTTTACACTGCACACCGAATAAACTGGCAAATTACATGAAAAAGAAGTAGTAGTTAATTTATTAAAGCCATGATCATGGCCATCACTCTCCTAGGATCACATGAAAAAGAAAACAGCCACTAGGGGCTCCACGATAAGACAGTTCTAATGAATGTTTTAAACTTTCTTTTCTAAGTCATAAAAACAAAGCATTTCATAATCATTTCTGTGAACAATATGACCTAATGACCGACAGCCCCCTTTATCTAGAAAAATGCTGCAAATATGTAAGTTCTTAATGATCAGGGTCTTCATGGCCGGAACAGTTGGTATTTTTGAAAGCGACACAGCTCCAGTATACGCAGTTCCCTCAGCCGCATTCATAGGCCTGGAATTAATACATACAGCCAAATGTGCGTGCATCAGCTTATTACTTATTAGCCAAACCCTTCTCCTGAACTAGCTGATAAGATCAAGGATATAAAAGAGTTGTTACTAAGTAACTTTCCATTCCCTTTATGACATTTTCAGTAAAGTACAATCAACTAAAGGGCAAATGAAGCAGGGGAGGCAGGAGGCCAAAGAGCTGCATGTTCTCACGTTATTTGGCTGCAAACACCGTGAGCGCTGGAGTTTGCTTTACCTAACGCAGCAGTTCGAACAAGAAGCAGCCCCAGCTGTACCACTCGCTCCACCTCCACATTAACAACCATCCGGGAGAAAGAGTCTGCACTGGGCATTCAAAACAGCCACGACTGACAGCTAATTCTCAAAAGTTTTCATAATAACACCACATATAATTTCATTCAGTTTATTTTGCGAGGTACGGTCTCTTCCTGTACTTGCAAATACAACAGTGACTAGATATACAGAAAAGAAATGGCTTTCTGGGTGTGTGATGCATGTATTAGGAGCATAGATACTATTTCATTCTACTGATGTGCTTTTTAAGGCTGACCATTTTTGAGAAAGTCTCTTCAGAGTCAACCTACGTCGACATGAAAGCTTCCTAAAGAAATCTGTGGGCGGCTACATGGACCCAGCCCTCTCTCATTTCAAGGGGAGAGCACAGTCACTACGTGCCCGCTGTCTAGGGGTAAGACCGGCCCAGCATCCTATGCCCTGAAGCTGCCATGCATGGCCAGTCCTGCTGCTGGCTGACCTCTCCTGAATTAGAAGGCCATGACTCTGTTGCTACATGAGAAATTTGCCGCAGCATCCATGATAACTTACGCTCAACACTTCACAGTTTACTAAGTTATTCCAAACATCTTACTTTGCTTAATCATCCTCAACAACCCTGGGAGAGGTTAAGAATGAGGAAAGGGAGCTAGGGGAATGTAAGCGACAGGTCCAAAGCCACACCATTGGGCAGTGACGAAATCAGCCTTGTTGTTCTATAGCCTATGTCTTTCCTCCAAATCACAAATTTTGTCCTCTGTCTACGAAATGTCTCTTAGGAGACAGAAGGCTTCCCATCCATGTTGTCTATACCAATCTGATCCATACCAATAAGTCAGCTTAAAAATCCACTGAAGAATCTGAAATTTCAGGGCTAGAACATACTCTAGGAATCATCTAGTCTAACATAACCCCTTAATTACAGAAACAGAAATGGAGGCTGAGGAGGTTGAGTATAAAATCTTTCCTGATCATCCCATCTTGGGGTGATGTGGCCTTAATTAAACGTCTACAGCAACTGGTCCTCAAATGGGCCAATTTGAAGATCACAGACTTTTGTATCGCATCTTCTAGTTTTGTCTTGAACTGTGAATTTAATATTTTTCTGTTAATTTTTCATGACTATATCTTCTCTTAATTCTTCTGAGATTTTCTTATCTTTTGTATCTAATGCCTCCAATATTTAATGATTTGTTGAAATTTCCTTCCACACCACCTTTAAAGAGATGTAATATTTGCATGACATATAACAACTATCGTGAGTCCTACCAGCCACTTTCCAATTCCATCTATGCAGAGAGACCGCTGTCACGAGCTCACAGCCCACGGTCTGTGTACTTGGTGGTCACGGCAATGTCAGCGCACTGAGTACCTCTATGTGCCTGTTGTGTGTTTCTGTCACTCTACCGCGTCCAAAGGACATATTAACACAAACCCTTCATTCCTAGACTCAATTCAGGGTGTGACTCAGACCTGAAGACAGTCCCACGAGCACAATGAGAACTCCTTCCACAAGGCACGTTCTGCCACCTGAAGACACGCTCGGGCACTCAGGGGGCTCTGCGCTCTGAAAACCAGCTCCCTTTCATCCACAGGCCCTGGTGTTTTCTGGGCCTTAGCCAAAGAAATACTCTAATTACTGCTCTTACTCAGAAACGGCAGCTGGCTCATCAGATCTCTGCACATTACGTAAATCATGCTCTTAAGTGAATAATTTAATTGCTTGATCAAGAGATTCAACATGGGATTTAAATATCACTATTCATCTCTCTATTTATATATTGATGTTATTAAATTTGTTTATAGTCATATTCTAAAACAATATAAAGAAAAGCAATGCTTTGACAGTATTTATGGAGACTAAACATGCAAACACTATAAAACAATACTTTTCAGCCAAAAGCTTGCAAATGCACTGAAAATACCTTTCCAGTCATAAAGAATTGCCTCTGAAATTCAATAATGATACTTATGACACTGCTTTTTAATTGAAAACATTTCATGATACAAGTCTCAAGTGACTTTTTCTTAAATACTACAAAAGTAAAAGGTAGCATACCACGTAAGTGCTGACCGTCTCCGTGACCACACTCCGGACAGGGGCTTTGGAACTTCCGGCTCCAGAGATGGCGGGAGACGGAGACGGCATCAAGGCAGGGGACGTGGTGGACTGTGCGAGGAGTGGCAAAGGCACCGGGGCGGGGGTGACGTGCACAGGCACAGGGGCTGGGGCTGGCGCAGGTGGCGGGGTCTTGGGTCTGCTCAGAGAGGGCGCTGGCTTAGCCTCGGGCGCAGGCACCACTTTGCTGATGACACTGCCAATGAGAGAGAGAGAAGGAAAAGTCAAAACAGGAGGTCGAATCAAACCAAATCTTTAAAAACATTATCACAAAATAACGTTATTCTTCTGCTGGCAAAATACTCTTTGGACAGTCCAGAGATAGCTACAGACCTCAGAGTTCAAAGCCCTTTACCAATTCACCTCTCAACTTATTCAGCCTCATTTTTTATTTCCCCAAATTGTCCCTCAGTGACCAGCTATGTAGACACTTTTAGCAACCAATACACAGGTACTATTCACAGAAATGTAACTATTTTTAGAGTAAGTGTGTTTGTTCCCCCTGTTGCCGGATACACCCCCTCTCTGTTGACTTCAGATTTGGCAAAGGAACTTCCGTGGCCCATGAAACATGAGTGGAAGTGACGTGTGCCACTTCTGCGTAGAAGCTTTGAGCGCCATCACAAAGCCGAGCTTCCCTCTTTTCTGTGTGCTGCATGCGAGTCCTCCAACGGCCGTCAGCTCACACTCAGGGCAAAGAGGACGTGGGCAGAGCTATGATGGACGTGTCACAGGAGTGAGAAGTAAACGACTGCTGTTGGAGGCCACTGAGACTTTGGGCTTGTTAAGACCTGCAGCTTAACCTACCAAAGCTGGACACAGTAACTTAAACCAAGCTCATATATACACCTCTTTCTCCACTCCAGGGTTTCCTACTCTGAATACTCTGAATGCCAGACTTTCTCACTTCTGGATTTGGCTTGATGGCCAGGCATTAAAGATTTAAGATTCTCAGACGGGCTGGGGAGAAAGGTCAAGTCGCAGGAGTGCATTTTCGCTCCCCGGGAGAGAAAAGCAGCTCGAGCTCCTTTCCCAGTGATGTTACCGACTGATAATTAGAGCTGTCCCTTCCTTAGCAACATTTTATTCATAGTACTCATGCGGTGGACGAAGCACTGGACTCAGAGTCAGGGGAGCTGAGTTCAAATCCCAGACCTGCCACAGGCCAGCTAGGTGACCTTGGGTAAGTCATTTAGAAATACTGTTTACTGGGCGCCTATAAGAAGCTCACTATTACACTCTCGACCATCTCATCGAGTCCCACGACAATGTCAAAGGAGTTATGGTGTCCCCATTTTATGGATGGGGACACAGAACTGGAGAGAGGAATTTGGGTAAATGGGTGGCAGGCTTTGAACCAAGGTCGTTTTGATTCCAAAACTCTTTCTTTTTCTTCTTTTTTTAGGTTTCTTTACTTAAAAAGAATTACATATCATTCCAAGCATAGAGAATATGAGGTAACAGGTTCGGTGACAGTCCGAGATAAACGGACCTTAGCCCTTCCCCGTGTTTGCTTCAGGTCTCTCCCCCGCTGTGCCCCAGAAGTGACCCCCCTAAAGCTGACAGGTTTGTTTTTCTATTTTCGTTCTTCGTACTTTTTCTGCCTTTGTACCTCCCATAAATGACACATACTGTACTACTGTTTTACATGTTTCAACCATATAAACAATATCACACTGTATTTCTCCTTTGCAATTAGCTTTCCTCAGTTTTTTTATGGAGATATAACTGACATACAGCAGTGTGTAAGTCTGAGGTGTACAACGTGTTGGTTTGACAGAGTTATACATTACAATATGATTACTACAGTAGTGTTAGCTAACACCCTTATTATGTCACAAAGTTAGCATTTCTTTTTTGTGACAACAGTTAAGACCTAGCCTCTTAGCAATTATGAAGTTTACAACACAGTATTGATGACTATAATCTCTATGCTGTGCATTAGCTCCCCAGAACTTACTTCTCTACTAGTTGCCCACTTAGTTTTATGTCTCTTGATTTATCCATGTTGATACATATAGATCTATATTACTTTTTGTCTTTGAGGAAGATTACCCCTGAGCTAACATCCGCTGCCAATCCTCCTCTTTTTTGCTGAGGAAGACTGGCCCTGAGCTAACATCTGTGCCCATCTTCCTCTATTTCATATGTGGGGCGCCTGCACAGCATGGCTTGATGAGTGGCGCATTGGTCCACGCCTGGGATTTGAACTGGTGAACTCTGGGCCACTAAAGTGGAACATGAGAACTTAACTGCTGTACCACCAGGCTGGCCCCTATATTACCTATTTTAATTGTTATGTAGTATTCCATAGTATGAATAGGTCAAAGGGTTTTTGTCCATTGCCTTACTGAGGGTAGGACGTGGCAACTCACAATGTTACACGTTAACTTGTAAATCTGTTCAACAATCTCCTGGGCTATGTTCCTAGAGATGAAAGTTGCTGGGTCAGAGGGTAGGCACAGTCTCACCTTTACAAGGAGTCCTAAGCTGCTCTCTAAGGCGATGGCACCCACCCATCTCTTTGTGCCATTCACACTTAACTTCCTAGGCCTGGCTTTAAAGACAACAAAGGGTAAACACATACAGCTGCCTCTGAGGGTCACAGTGGACACAGAGCAACATGTACAACTGTGAAGTGTCAGCACCAGCCGCAGATACACGTCACGGCTGTTGCCGACACCCTGAGGCGTCATCACCACCAGCCTGCACAGTTCCACTTTCTCCAAGTCCTAGTTTAGAAACCACCCCCACCAAAAAGCACTCATTTCTTTGCTATTCTGATTAGAAGTTTATAATACATTAAATTATTTCAAAAATTCCACTGTTATGTAAGCAAATAGTTAATGCTATCTACTTGCTCTCCCCTTGTTTCATTCAAGTGTGCTTGCCTTCCTAACTTGAACACAGCCAAAGACCAAGAGAATTTCACACAGGCTGTCTGTGCAGGAGACACGCCACAAATGTTTACCATGATTAACAGTGTATATTTTTCGACCACTGACTAAGTACTCAACCGTCTTAAGCACCCGAAAGCCAGGGCATGCCAGGCACTGTGCTAAATGCGTACTTGCCTCTCTCACTTGATCCTCATGACAACCAAATGAGGTAATGAGCACTGTTACTCCCCTCCTTTTGAAGATGAAGACACCACAGCACAGAAGATGAAGCACCTTGCCCAGATTCATAGCCGACCATGTGGCAGAGCCAGGATTAAACCCAGGCACCTGGGTTCAGCACCCGTGATCCCAACTATAAAGGTTGTCTCTCAACGCTGACTGAGTGAGTTTTGTCTCACAACTAAGGTGGGAGTGCAAAGTCATTACTATGGCATTTATATCCAGGGGGCAAGCTCCTCATTTTTATGGTTAAATTTTTAAAACACACCAGTTTTAGAGCAAGTTTCCCATACTGGTTTAAAATGTGGGTGTTCAAACCAAATCTAAAGAAAAAAAGGAATCCTGAGAGGAAGTAGAACCCAGGTGTTTTGCCCTGAGGGCATGTACAGAGGTGCATCTGACCTTTGGTTTTCATAAAGAGGACAGGTTTCAAAGCCCAGGACTGCCAAAGGGGAAGTAAAAGAATGCCCTTCCCACAGGAAGGCTCCCAGCAGGCTGCACCGACTAGGCAGGGTGAATCAGAAGCCCATGAATTCTCTGCTCTGGTGGTTCAGGACACTATATTTAAAGTAATCTGGGCTTGTAATGTGCCCACATACTCAACACTAATCATCCTGAGAGGAAGCAACTTGAAAGCTAGGCCTCATATTAATACCTCATAATATTAATATTAATTAATCAATAATTTGATTATTGATTAATTAATATTAATATTGGGGCCAGTGGTTAAGTTCGCGTGCTCCACTTCAGCAGCCCAGGGTTTCACTGGTTCAAATCCTGGGCATGGATATGGCACTGCTCATCAGGCCATGCTGAGGAGGCGTCCCACATGCCACAACCAGAAGGACCCACAACTAAAATATACAACTATGTACTGGGGGGACTCGGGGAGAAAAAGCAGAAAAAAAAGAAATTAATCAATGTTAGTATTAATAAATAACTATTTAAGAAAAATAGGAGCATATAATCAAAGATAACCAAACATACATGGAAGCCAGGTAGCATCAGGGAGAAGCAGAAGAAGTAACAGGCAGTTTAAAGAGACCCATAAAGACCACAGATACTAGAATTATCAACTCTAAAACAACTCTGCTTACAGTGTTTACAAAAATAAAAGGCAAAGTTTGAAATTATCTGCAGGTGATAGGAGGTAATAAAGAATGCCCTAGCAGATTTGAAAAGAACTACACAGATCTTCTAGAAATGAAAAATACAATAACTGGAATTTAAAACTCAATGGATGGGAGAACCGTAAACTAAACAGGACAGAAGAAATTATCTAGAATGTAGCCTGGAGATGCCAAGAGAATACAATAAAAAGATCTAATTAGTACATGTTTAATCATAATTCTAGAGAGAGAACGGGGCAGAGGCAAAACATTAAAGAATATGTGAGACTTTTACAGAACGAATGAAAGACACCAACCCACAGACTTAGGAAGCCCAGCAAATCCCAGGCAAGATAAATAAAAAGAAATCTACAGCTAGACACATCAGAGTGAAACTATAAAACATCACAAAGAGAAAGTCTGAAAAGCAGCCGGAGGGAAAACAGAACAATTACTTCTAAAGAAGAAACAGATGACAGCCAACTTCTCAACAGCAATGATAAAATCTAGAAAACAGTCGAATAACATCTTCAATGTGTGAAAGAAAAATAGATTTTTCTCTTTGAAAACACCTTTCAAGATTAAAGATGAAATAAAGACATTTTCAGGCAGGCAAAACCTACGGACTGGCCACCAGGGGACTCTTACTAAAGAAATTCTGAAGTAGCAATTCGCAAAGTTTTTGGTCGTAGGACCCCTTTACATTCTTAAAAATTACTAAGAAACCCAAAGACCTTTTATTTGTGTGCATTATATCTGTCAATATTTACTATATTAGAATTGTAACAGAAATTTAAAAAGATTTAGTAATTCATTAAAAAGTAACAATAACAAACCATTACCTGTTAACGGACAGCATTTTTCTAATGAAAAGTAAGTATACTTTCCAAGACAAAACAATTTTGTGAGAAGACTGGCAATGATTTATATTTTTGCAACTCTCCGCAATGTATGCACATCTAACTAGA